CTGCTTATCACTGCAATATTGTCGTCTGAAAATTGCCATACTACGCATATATTACAATATGTTACCTAACTTTACTTTCTAAGTTCACTATATGTACGACAGTTACATCGGTCAGTCTAGTTAGGAGTGGAAAGAGAGTGCTTCTTCTAAGATCATCCAAGAGCCCTCGTTCCCCTCTCTTTAGTGGCCTTTTTACAATCTTCCTTCGTATAACCTTGTTTAATTGTTCAACCATCAATCATCTATTTATAGTTCGGCCGCGTTTTGCTATATTGTTTCTTCCTTTCATCTGTTATTGAGCCGGCTCATATGTTGCCTGTTCGGAAAGCCATACCCGACCGTGTGATCCTCTGCTACTATTCCCATCATTGGGTTAGAGTTTCGAGCGTACCTCAGAGACAAAGTACGAACTTCCATTTTGGATAGATGAGATTACGAACATGGGAGTTGGCCTATCCGACGGCAAACTCGGTTATGTAAAGTTAAATACCGTCCATGACGATGCAACATTAGGGAAAGTAGAGGGAGGAAAAAAAAAAAGGAGAAAAAGAAAAGAAAAACAACCGTGTGAAAGCCGTCATCATCAGTCCGACCGTAGCACCCGCTTGAATGTCTCCAGTGTATGATCCCAAACCTTACCAGGGAAACTCCGGGCTCGATAATCAGCCATCAGTTTCTCGCGAGTTGCATTGCTCCCATCGTATTTGAGAATATAGGAGCCCCCTCCAATTTTACCAGTTGATGCAGATGCCGTGTCCACCCCTTTGACCAAGGGAACCCCCAGATGTGATGGATCTTTGGGCGTGGCGGGAGGATAAGCTGCCGACGTCGAGAGATACAGATTACGCTCACCACTCTCCTCCGGCGTAATGGAAATCGGACGAGAAAGAAAGCTTAGGATAGCCCCGCCAAAGTTCCCGAAGGTGGTGTTCATCAACGGAGTCCGTACAATTCCCGGAAAGACGTGTAGAAAGCTTACGGTCGGATGGGCGGTGGCTAGATGCTCTATCGCTAAGGAATTTAGTGTAGCGGCGTATGTGTTTGATTTCGAAAAAGTCCATGACTTTGTCAGGTCGAAATTGTCTTCTTCGATGGTGCCTTCTTGGCCGCCTGCTAGGATGGATACGACCCTGGCTGGACCGGGGGAGGCACTGAGCAAAGGCATAAGGTTCTGCACGAAGCGCATCCGGGAGTAGTAACGAAGGGCATGGTTGTCGTCTAGTCCTTCATCGGTCTCTATGTGTGGGGCCCCCCTGTCAGCACTAGTAGGGTATAGGGGTGTTGGGGTTGACGGGGTAGCGTTTGTAGCCGTCCCGACTGACCAGGATAAGGTTATTTCTGCTACTTACCATTTTTTGAAAGAGAGAGATGGCCGGTGGACATGAAGAGGAGATCGATTTGCTTTTCCTTGTCGGTGATTTCCGCACAGGCCTTGTCAACACTACGCAGAAGTGAGACATCCGATTGAATGAAGTGAAATGATCCGTTTGGATTTGAAGCCCGGAGCTCCTCTAGGACTCTGGAACCGGATGCGGGATTCCGGCCAACCAAGTGGATGGTTGGTTGTTTCACAGCGAGCGCCATCTGCTTGGCTGTCGCCTCTCCTATGCCACTGGTGCCTCCAACGAAGACGGCGACCATCTTTTGGCGTTGAGCGCCTAGAGCCGTGTTGGACTGACGAACCTGGCTAAGAGTGGGCATGATGGATGGTTGGGAAGAGTAGTATGATACTATAGTTAACAAGCGGGAACAAGGGGAGATACTTCTTCTCACTACGCTTTATAAGTGCCTGGCAGCTTGGTGATGATAATGAGATGTAGTTAGTTTGGGAGTTGTGCTGACGCATGACGCGCACCTGACTCACTCGGGTCGGGTACCCTTCCTTATTGGGCCTGCTTACGCTGACGTCAAGCAAAAGAGTTCATCAATTAGCTAGATGCTTACCTCGTTATGGTGGCTGCGATCCGGGCAAAATCGGACGGAAGAGAACACCTGCTTGACCTATCATCCTGAAAACGCCATTGAACTCTAGGGGACGGGAACAAGGTCTCACATTCGAGCAGACATGGATTGAAGCTGTTTGCGGGTGACGGGACCAGGGCAAACGGATCCCAACCAAAGTCGAAATAATTCACGGACCAAAATAAACATCTCCAGATAAGGACAACTGACACTAAGGGCAGCAAATGGGAGCTAGCGGTCGTAATATTCTCCGTGCAGTTAGTACTGTCTAGCGATCTTCAGGCAAGATCCACATCCCGTCCGCAGCGGATGTACCGGCACCAGGCTTCCCGACTTCTGGATCATGATAAGGTTCTGTCAGGGGTACTCCATAGTGGAGCAATGTCGGCAATCGCCCATGAGCTGGTGACAGCTACAGGCATAGGTCACGAGGGAGCTATCTGCTAAGCTGGCAGCAGCAGTGACTTTTCCAATTAGCCTTGGAGGCGTCTTACAATTTCTCGACTATGCATACCAGTACTGCTGATATTTAGAGTTTCCATCGGTTGGAGCGTTTGACATCCAACTTAATCCAAAAGAGGTTGTAATCGGGTCGGTTCGGGCCCAGCCTAGCCCATCTACTCGTGTTGTCGCAAGGCTATCATGGTCCTTCGTGAGGTGTCATCGCGCGTCGTCCGGATGTCGACAGGGCTGTCTTCCAGGTCGGAAAGTTCATCGACAGCTCTAGCAGCCAGATGTAGAGCTGAGCACGTATCTGTTTGCTTGTTAGATGATACTTAGATGATACTAAGTTGGTGTTTTGTGACCACGAGCTGGATGAGTTTGATATAGCGAAGATGCTCCCGTATGTGATATCGTATAACGCACTTTATGTAAATGAATCTTTTCGATTACGGCGAGGAAACTACGTGACTCATACTCTTTCTAGTACGGTGCAATTTTGGAGAGGGTGAGAAGTGTCTCCAACTTCCAAGTACAGTTAGATTAAATTCCTCAAGGCTCATTTCCCAGCAGTGTTGAATCTACCTACCGGTCGGACCTGGTGTTTATCGTTCATCGGTCGGCCTGTCATCCGGCACACACCTCGACAAGTAGCATAGTCCGCGCCTCGGCTCATCGACGTTTATACTCCTCTACCACGACCGTAATGTATCCAATCAGACCTCGATAAGTTCAATGACCAGAAGGATGCAAATGCGTTCCATTTCGCATTGCGTTCCACCTCACGGTGGAAAGCGACTCATACCCGATCTCCCCGACCAACACTCTTCATCTGCTGGATACCGAGAGCACCCCTCAGCGCTCACTGATCCCATCGCGATGATACCGTCTTTGTTGTTGTGAAGAATGGCCAATATGTCTTTCCAGGGGAATGCCGGTCTGGACAGGTTAGAGTTTCTCCCATCAGCGTGCCTGGATACTCACCACCCAGAAAAGAGTCTTTGTTGCTCGTTCGGACCGCAGTTCCATATGGCGCTATTGCACTGTCAGGGGTTGGTTGCGCCACAGAAATAGGGATAGCCATACCGATCAACGGGATGTTGACACCGATTTGTCCAACATTGACACAGCGTTGGAACATATTTGCATGTTTTCCACTGGTGGTAAATATAGAGCATCCGTTACCATCTATGATTGGATCAGCAATCCATGTCCTCCAGACACGGAATTATCGGAGACTGACACTTGTTTTGATTAATCAGATCGATCGCTTCCTCGAGAGTGTCCACCTCCATACAGATGAGTACTGGTCCAAATATCTCCGCCTGATAACATTCCATGTACGTCTGCACGTCCCCGAGTATGGTTGGGCCCATGAAGTTGCCATCCGGATAGCCGGGGACCTCAATATCCCGACCGTCCAGAAGAACCGTTGCTCTCTCCTCAACTGCTCGCTGGATCATCTCACTAACTTTTTCTTTGGCTGTTTTGTCGATCAAGGGCCCAATCTTAGACTCCTGATCCCCTCCACATCCTACCACCATCGACTGTGCCAGTTCGACCAGCCTAGGAACCCAGTCTCTCGTCACACCAACAAACACTGCTACGCTCAAGGCCATACATCGCTGTCCCGCAGCTCCAAAGGCACTTCCAGCGATCGCAAACAGCGTCGAGGACATATTGGCATCCTCTAGGACAACCCCATGGTTCTTGCCCCCACACTCTGCTTGTATTCGCTTCCCTGCAGCCCTTGCCAAGTCATGGACCTGCCTAGCAGCGGATTCGGACCCGACGAAGCTCACCGCTTGAACTGTGGGTTGAGTCACAAGCATCTGAACGGTAGATGGACCGCCGTGAAGCACGTTGAAGACTCCAGGTGGGAATCCAGTCTTTACGAATGCCTGTGCTAACAATGAAGACGTAGTAGGTGTTTTCTCAGAGGGTTTCAGGATAACTGTATTGCCGGTGATGAGCGCGTACGGAAGCGACCACAAGGGAATCATGAAGGGAAAGCTGAAAGGGGTGATTGACACACAGACGCCCTGTGGAAAACTGTCAGTAGCTTGTCCGTATCTTCTTAGTACCAACGTACAACTGGCTCGTAGAACGTTTGTAGCAACGTTGCATCACCTCCTAAGAACATGCCGGCCATTTCAGGCCCAATCGAGCATGCAGCATGTATGCAGTCCAGACCGCGGAAGACTTCTGCATCTGCATCGGCTAGGGTCTTTCCAACCTCTCGAGATAAACAGGTCACCTGTGATTGTTAGTTCAACTCCTTTGCCAGTCAGCTGTTGCGGCTGCTTGCTCACAATTTCAGGAGACATCTGTCTTAGTACATCCACTAGTCTCAACAGATGCTCACGCCTCACTTGAAACCCCAAAGCAGCCCATCCAAGCTGGGCATCTTCAGCAGCCCCAACGGCCCGCTGTACTTCCTGAAGTGTACTCCCCGGGACCCTGCAAAGTAGACGTTGTGAGACCTGTCCATCGCGTTAGCACTAGTAGCAATAAACTGAGGTTGATCAAGACAAATACCGGATCCAGCACAGTTGTCCAGTTCTGCGACCTAGACATCACTGATTCATTATTAATAAACAGATGCGTGATTGTCGGCCCAGACTGCGACCGCGGTAATAGCTCCTCCCGGTCGGATGCATCACTTTCTTCAACCGGTACGGTTTCAGCACGACTGGATCGGGAACTTAGCCCATCACGACGGGTCTTATCTCCACAATCTCTCATCAGCATGGATTATTCCACTCTTATCATTGTCTTGAACTGGAACAACCTACATCTGAGATCCGCCGGCGCACGCGCCCCGACACTGTGGTACCATCGCTAGAAGCGGGCGAGGCTGCGGGGAACGGTGTGAACCTAGAGCGACCCGATGAGGCGCTTGATGCCCGGGGCATGTTATCGTATGGCGATTTGGTGAATCCAATCGGGAGATACAGATTATCGGATTATGGTGGCGATGATTATCTGGCGATCTGGTAGATACTGGCTGTCTTATCAGACTTGGGGTTGCTGCTTGGTCTGTGCGCGTGTTTACTGATAAGCGAGCTGCTACGTAAATCGCCTTGATAAGCGCACAGGCGATGCTCTGTTGGGTATAGTTGCGTGTCTTGTCGTTCTATATACAAAATGGGTCTATGAGGCTCTCAGCCTCAGATATATGCCTGTCATGAGCACGAAAACTTCTTTACCCTTCAAATCTATGCATCTAAGCAGAACTACCATTTATCACAATTCAAGAATGGTATTACCACGGGATACGGGTTAAGAAAATTTCTCGCCTTTTCAGTGCATTAATCTCTCAACAGGGACATCAGTTCAATCGAAAATGGCATCTCGGATTATTCAAGTGAGGGGCAGAAGTAGAAAGCCGCTACAAGTTGCCGAAAAGCTGCATATTGAATACCTGCATAGACAGCTCTTCATTCGATACTCTGCGATCACGCCAAGAAAATCGGGCAATATATGAGATCGGTATTTTCATCATCGATTTTCTTCCCGAATGGAGCTTCGTGCTACCACATAGAGGGCGTCTTCTACTCTTCATACTCTTCCGAGCCTACTATCTTCATTACCAACAGAAATATGATAATTCCCAATTTCAAGGAGTCGGAGCGTAGGGTGAGTCATATGGTAGCTATTACGACTGCTCGCTCTCAGGTACCCTGTTGAGTGCTTTCAATATCATAGAAGATTCGACTCAGCACTTTATCATTCTTTCTGGACAACAGCGACCGTTACAAGAACTCTCCGGAGCACTCTTCCCAGGCCCAACACCCAACCCAGATAAGATTAGATTAGATCCTCACCCCGCTTATCTTATCGTCCTTTCGCACCGCAAAACCCCGCGCTTTTTTCCCTCCGAATTTTCACTCCGCCTTTCTTTTCACACGATAGGCGTAAAGCACGCGACTAAATCAGCGCCGGTCGAGACTAAGCCCAAAGTCGTCCAACCTATACCATATAGTCAGTCCTATCCACAGAGTGGCCCAAAATCATCCATTTCAAACAAAAATTTATCACAACACCTCAACCATCACTCCGCCCACTTCCGGCCAATCGAAAAATAGTCCAAACTTAAATCCACGCCATGGAATCCTCTAGCGCAGCAGCCTGGACTACCCAGATGGACGGCATCACGGTCCTGGAACAGGACCGGTCTCTACTCAATTTGATGACCATCATCCGGGACGTGAATACCAATGATCGGGACTTTTCCGCTGCTGTGGAGAAGGTTGTGCGCCGGTTGATTACAGCCGGTAAGTATTATTCTATATCCAATGAACTTTTAATCATTGGAACAACGGCTTATGTAAATGTATAGCATTGGGCCACGTCCCCGCTGAAGAATACACTGTTACTACCCCGATCAACAAGCCCTACACCGGAATCCGGTTCACGAAGGGTGTTTGCGGTGTCAGTATCCTCCGCGCCGGTGCCTGTATGGAACAGGCGCTGCGGGATACTTGGACGTGAGTGTTTCCTTTCTGTATCTGAAGAGTATTCAAGTGCGCTAAATAAGAATGCGCAGTGGACCCCTAAGTTTCGGTAAGCTGCTCATCCAGCGCGATGAGGAGACTAGCATCGCCAAAATTTATTACTCGAAGTTGCCGGCGGGGATTACGGATGATAGTATGTTTTATCTTTTCTTGTGATGGATTGTTGGTTGGCAGGAAAGGAGAACACACTAACAATGATTTAGTCGTCCTGCTACTGGAACCCATGCTCGCGACCGGCGGATCTGTGATCAAAGCCGTTGAGAACTTGACGAGCAATGGTGTTCCTGAGGAATCTATTGTTCTTGTTAATGTGGTGTCGTCGCAGAAGGGACTGGATGTTGTTTCTGGTAGATTTCCGGGTCTGAAGGTTGTTGCTGCGGCGGTGGATGCGGAGTTGACTGCTCAGAAGTAAGTGTGCTTAGTTAATTTGAAGTAGATCGTTGCTGACTCTGCTTTAGCTACATTAGTCCTGGTCTGGGAGACTTTGGTGATAGATACTATGGAACGACTCATTAAGAGTGGAAATGAGTTCGCTATAGGGTTTAGACTGTCTATTGAGGTGTACGGGTGATGGGTTGGTTCTTAGAATCCTTGGGATTTGTAAATATTCTTTCGCTTTATATAAGGGAATGGCTAGGACTTTATTGATAAGATTGTATTTTTGAGCCTTGTCTGAATGTATATTGCTGTTCAGCAGGCTAGCTTTCTGGACCCATGCTTACTTTTGAGCAGCTGACAAGAGTATGTGTCAGGACCTCCCGATGCCTGAAACTGTCTCATTTGATTCTGATTCCATACGGGCAACTGATATAAGGGATCAATGGGCGAGAGAAGGGTACAGAACGTATCTCATTTGGCAAGAGCGAAGGTGCAAATGTAAGTCTTCACGTTCTTGTACAAATCTATTACGTATATGTTCTAATCAAATGCTGTTCCATAGAGCCTATCCCCAATATCCCCAACTCCAGGCTGAACATACCCCTTCGCATCCACGTCAGGATCAACTGCACCCACAACTAATCGGCTACCCTCGGGCCACACGGCAGCTGCATGCCCCAACCCAACCGGACTAGACAGCATAGAAAGAAATGTAACCTTGTCAATTCCCCAATCCCTGACATAATGAGTGACTAACCAGAACATTACAGTAATCTTGAAACTCACTTCAATATACTAATAACCGCAGCGGCTGTACCACCCGTGGCAATCAACGGATCCAAAATATAAGCCTGCTTGATATGCGCCGGCTTCACGGGTAACTTATTGTAGTACTCAACCGGCTGCAACGACGCCTGGTCCCTGAATATACCCATGTGATAGACGGTTGTCGACACATCTTCAGGGATGTTGTCCACGAAACCATCGAACATGGCGAGACCGGAGCGTAGCACCACGATGATAGCTATCGTTTCATCTTTGGGTACGTCGATGTGCAGGCTCTTTGTCATGGTTGCTGTCATGTCGCGCACTAGGCTGCGTACTTTGGAGGACTTGAGGGATCGATCCCTGAGTTGTGAGAGAAGGGATGTGAAAGTATCATTTTGAGGTTGATCAACATTGGCGGGTAGTGTGACTGTCATGATGGATACAGTGGGTTGTATTGATGTAACGAGAAGAGAAATGAATGGAAATGTATACTTGACGTGCAATGTAGTGGATATGTCCTGCTATAAATATGTTGACTTCGTTAAGATACAGAATGATATGATCACTGTGGCATCCTCCGATCTCATAGTTGTTCCGCCCATCTTCACAAGGCGGTTATCGTCGCTGGTATCAGATAAGATACCGTATCAGCCGAGGCGATAAGCGCCTTCCCCGCTTTGTTGTGCTCATCCCCTCATCCAGTTTAACATTCTTTGTAAACAACACATCTATCTTCTCTTCCTATCAAGAAGAGAAGCGCTCAGAGTACACCCGAACTTGCAAGAAAATTGCATTATCTGGCTAAGGAAACACGATGGACTCCAATACCAGACACTTGCTTCGTTTGGAAGCCGTACGCGAGAGAGCGAATATCGTCTTCCGCCTCGCTGAACAAGGAAGGCTGCACCACTACGACTACCACCCTGAGCGTCTCGATGCGACCGTAGACTACGTTGCAGGCATAATCCAGGTAAATAGCCTCTTATACATCCAAAACCATCCCTAACCATCTATTCAGCGCGACTTCGGCCCGGACCGCTACGACCAAATCCCTCCCCACGGTCGCTGGCAGCACTTCGACGTAGGCGGCGTGCCTCGAATCCAGAAACTGATCGAGCGATGGGATGCATCCGGATATGATGATAAAGAGAAAGTCAGAAGTCTGTTGGATCTATTCTTCGTCTCCGTGCTTCTCGATGCCGGTGCGGGAGATACTTGGCGTTACGTGGAGAAGGAAACCGGGGCCGTCTTCACCCGCAGCGAGGGTATTGCGGTCGCATCGCTGTATATGTTCTTGAACGGTGACTTTGCCAACAAGGAATCTGAGAGAAAGGATGTGGTACATGGTACGTGTTGTCTGCGGTGTCGGCAGGGAGATGACATTGCTCACGATGAACAATAGGAGAGGCCCTGCGGACCCTCAGTGTAGACACACTACTTCGCGGCTTTCAAGTTGACGATTCCAGCAACCCACTTCTTGGAGCTTCTGCCCGGGTCCAGATCCTCCAACGACTGGGCGAGTCCTTGAGAAATCTTCCAGAAATCTTTGGGCCATCCGGCCGCCCTGGGCAAATCGCAGGTCAGTTACCAGTCAACGTGATATAGTACCTAGTAACTGATGTACTTTCTAGACTACCTCCTTGCTATGAGCAAAGGCTCCATCGACTACTTGGTTCTTTGGGATGTCCTACAGAAAACCCTCATCCCAATCTGGCCATCCGACCGCACCAAAGTGAACGGTTACCCCATCGGCGACGCCTGGCCACTCACCGTGCTCGCAGAGCAATCACCATCCTCCACTACGGACAGTATCCAACCATTCCATAAGCTCACACAGTGGCTTGCATACTCCCTCAAGGTTCCCTTTGAGCGACTTCTCTCCCTGAAATGGCAGAACGCAGAGCTGGGAACTGGCCTCCCTGAGTACCGTAACGGAGGATTATTCATAGACATGGGCGTATTGACGCTTAAGCCCGAGGCGCAGGAGCGTGGACTACGAACCTCAGGAGGAAACCTTCCGTGCTTTGCAGTCGCAGACGGCGAGATCGTAGAGTGGCGGGCCATGACTGTTGCGTTGCTCGATAAGCTACATGAACGGATTCTGCAGAGCGGCAAGTTTGGGGCTGTGCAGTTATCATTGCCGCAGATGTTGGAGGCGGGATCATGGAAGGCGGGCAGGGAGTTGGCGGCGAAGTACAGGCCTGAGACGAAATCGAGTCCGATTTTGAACTCTGGTGATGGCACTTTGTTCT